TGGGTCACTGAAAAAGGAACGAATTGATAACAAGTGGGGAGATAAGAGACCTATTTTACATGTTTCAGCTTAATTATCACGGTTTTATAATTCTCTGACAACAATTGTCTCTCATCTCCCCACTTGTTATCAATTCGTTCCTTTTTCAGTGATCCATTTTCTATCTCTTCTACATGAACAAATACCACCGCCTACACCGATTGTTTCTTTTGCGTGTTGACTGAGCAACTTTTTGGTGCAATTATCTGTCACTTTACCGAGTATAAATACGACTGTACAGCTTAATAATGAAGTCGTTGAGGAGAAGTATTTCTTTGCTGATACATGCCCTTTACATTTAATGGCAGTAATAACAAACAATATACAGTCACACGTCATTTCTAAAGGTTTGCATAGATTTCTGTGTAGGTTACATGCTTCTCTAGCTTCAGTCCTCACTTATTCAGTCGCTGGAAGACGTATGTTGCATGTCTATAAAATGAAGCATCTCAGCTGAATTATCACGCACAAGTTTACAAGATGAAGAAACGAAAGTAATAACAAAATAATAATGAATATTCTAATCTCACATTAGTAAGTGGACATAGGAGAAGCCAGTTTACAGGCATCAGCACACTGATGTGCTGAAAAATCTACAAGATTTTACGGGTCTTGAATAGTACAGAAGGGAGGTCATTGAACTCTGTCAAAGATATCAGAAGATAGTGCTAGTTATGCCACAGAAAAGAAAATATAAACCGTCAAAGTTTAGACAGTAATAATTCTCAATCGCACATAATGGAATTAAAATGAGAGATACCGGTTAACAGGCACAAAGTGGTATTTGGCATTATATAATCAATACACTATGTCATTGATGTGCATAATCTCGTTAAGACTTGCCGCAATTCATAAGACGGACATGGGCTTTCATCTCCCATCGCACAGATAGGTTCGACTATTGGGGACAAAAGCGTACAATGTTCGCGGCTTGCGTATAACCAGCTGATGTTGTTAGTCTGTTTGCATAGTCTTTTCATTGGAAAGCCCCTTATTTTCTAGCTTTGCTAACCACAATGGAACCATTTATACCGTCAGAAGTATCAGTAAACATCCACAATTATAAAATCAAGGTGAGCGTCTAGGTCAAGGCATTTCCAGTTCACCGTGTTAGGTTTAAAAGTAATGTAGATTGATTCCACTGGGAAAGTTTTTTAGTGGATGAAAATAGAAATGGCAGGAGTTATATACGGACTTCAGGTAGTTTCCTTATAGGCGTAAGCAGCATCATTCGAGAATGCATAATTACTTTCATTTGAAAAGATCATATGATACATAGTACCAAAAAACATATGATGTGGAGCTACTGTAGGTAAGTTGCGTTCCTAGCCACTAGGTCAGTTGGTTTTTAGTTTGACCGTTTGTTCAGGATATTTGTGCTACTGTAACCGATGGGAAAGTTTGGACGGGTCATAACTTGAAGAATCCTGACACGTAGGTGAGTTAATCGTGAAGACGTTACAGAAACGGTGAAAGATTGGAAGGAGTCCAATAATTCTTGGAGCCACACAGCAGGTATTATTTCCGTTAAGTAGTTATATTGAGACTGAAATTCAGTGTCAAACGTCCTCATCGAGATCCCGCTCCAAATAGGAAAGGGAAAGAAGAAGCACGAGTAGATATGGAAAAGGAAATTATTAAACAACGAAATTGGGAGAAAAGTTCCCATACTTTTAGACCTATTCGAACTGTTTGTGCATTTTCATGAAGGCATATGTGGTCAGTTGCACAGTTTTTCGAAAAATTCCATATCTGGGGCGTAACCTAACCCTAACACCGTGGTTATGAAAGGTGTGAGTCATGTGAAAATATGTACACTAGCCAAACGGGTTGTGCTGTTCCAATTTCAGACAAAGAACTCCAACACTCTAAATCGACCACGTTTGGTTGTTGTTGCTAGTGTCCCGACACAACACACTGCCCCCTAACCGATGAACACATCAAACGTGTATGTTCAAAAGAGGTTGGCTCTGATTTCGAACCACGACAAATTCTGTAAGCCTATCAACGAGGAAAATAAGGCTAGACTAACTGAACAAAATATTGTGAATGTTCTTGATAGACTGAAGAATGACCGACTAATGGAAGACCCTCATGTATGTCTAAGACGAATAGGACCACCGATATTTCGGCTTTAAGGTTCGTCTTAAGTTCGCAAACCTGGTCTTGCGCTTCGTCCAACTTTGGACATACAAAGGCCATCCTGCTGTTTGATTGTAAAGTGGCTTTCTGAAATCCTGGAGCCTGTTCGGAGACGGTTACGCAGTCACCCTCTCCACAACACCTCCAAATTAGCCTATCATATAAAAAATCTGGAAGAAAACTGGGGAATATGCCCTAAACCAAAGTAAAATCCTTCTTCACAAGCGTCCCACTGATAAAAACTACCCATCTCCTATGTAAATGTTTACATGGCAGGAACTTGAGCACTGGACTACTTAGTTCATGCCTAATTTAACTGCTACTTAGACGCGCCTTCAGCTTCCAACTTTCTTTCAATAGCGGGTGGGTAGAACAGGAGTGGATTGTCTTACCGATTCGCCACTGACGTGTTGTTTTACGTGTAGCTTGAAGGAATGCAGTTTAAAGTCAATGGGTGGCGGGTTTTCGGCGTACAAAAGGTATGTCGGCGACATTTTCAATTTGTGCCATCACGACTGGGATTTAAATGATGTATTAAAAATATTTAGCGATTTTCACCTCCTAATAATACTCGCGGTTGAAGTAGCAGAACAGTCAAAGATTCCGTCTTGGACATAGAATTCACCGTTCTAAATGATGTGACACTCTGGAGGTCCGATTTCAGGAAATTTGTAAGGATTTGTAAGAATTCCGGCCTCAAAGAAGATATCAGGTTGCTTTGTGCTGTAAAGATGTATTGAAAAGATGAATTTCAATCCCACTAGAGAAAACAATTTTCGCGCCGGCTTTGAGGGTTGTGTTGTTCAGTCACCCAGTATCTCCTGACAACTAGGAAGGTAAACCCTCGCATTTGACCTATTCCAAGTGCTTTTATCAACATATCTGTTCCTTTGAGGCCAGGCACGCATGTCATTCACTGCACATTTTATACCAGCGGGCAGCAGAACGTTACCTTGTAAGGCTCTAAAAAGATGTGGATATGTCCATCGAAATTGTGATAACTGAGCACCCTGTCAGTGCTGGTCATGGCATCCCAGCTGATTCGACTTTTAAAGTCACGTAAGAGTGGAAAACATCTGCCAAAAAACAGCTCGTACCTACCCGACTGTATCGCTATAGTGCTTTCCATATGCATAGAGGAACCGGAAATATGTGCACAGAAAACTTATTCAGCCTTTGCTGTGATCTTGATCCAAGTAATAATGTTACCTATCTCATGCAACACAGATCACATGAAAGCAAATCCGTTTGCAAGTATAGCGTGATTTAGTAACACCAAGGTCACACCCCCTCTCCAGCTTTCCAGAGCATTTTACGCGGGCTGAAGTTATCTAATGATTCTCTATGTCCACAAAAAGTGCTTAGTCCTTGAAAGTTATGCCACTTTACGGCAGTCTTCAAAGAAGGCCAACGAATCAGCCCTTAGAAATACAGATCGGTGGCATTCTTGTCTATGCCTTGCAAAGTAACGAAGCCGGTGACCTGTGATGGACTGAGGGATCATCATATGAGGATTAACGTTCTTGCACCGCGGCAACGAGGATTTAAAAGATGGTGCTCCTGAACTACCAACCTGGTTGCTGTGGTAAATGGATGGACTAGTATCGTCGACTGTCCAGGTCAAATTGATCTTGTTTATCTAGACCTTGCTAAGGCGTTTGATGGTGTTGGTCACGACTGTCTCCTTGGAAAACAACAGTCAATCGGGATCAAACTATTGCTCCTTGACTGGTTGTTGTTTTGTCCACGGGGTAGTTCATTTAGGTTTCAAGTGAGTGTCTGAAGAAACAAAAGTCCCAGGGGAATTCCCCAGGGTCCGGTACTGCGGCCTCTTTCTTCCCTGATATACCCACATGACTTGGCTGGACAGGTAGCTCGTAAAATTCCTCTTTTAGTCAACGACGTGAAACCGTGGAGAGGAATCAGAAGTCAGGAAAACAATATTTCTTTACAAGACTAAATCCAACTTAAAAACTGGGCAATCAAAAATGGGATGGCATTTGATCCTGAAAAATCTTAGGTTACACATGTAAGGCATGATGCGTGTCATATATGTAGCCTATACTGCATAAAATTTGAATCATAATAGAAATTCTATGCCAGCTGTGGTCAAAACGTGCTTCGTGGGAACTTGGTGTTAGTAATCCCTGGACTAATTTTCGAGCAGTGATCGTAGATGTTTTCACCAAATTTTCGGCAGCTTCATACCACTTCACCTGGAGTTCTGGACTATGGTCTTCCCACTGTCCCTAAGGAAGGACAAATTAAGCTTAGAATGCATCCAGAGGCGGTTAACCAAACATATTCGAGGACCCAGGTCTAAAACAGAAAGAACGACTGATTGTGCTTGGTCTATGTGCTCTGAAACATAGAAGCCGAAGATGGAATTCGATGTCGGCCCACAACATCTTCAACACCTCTTGACACCCACTGGATTTTTTATTGAATCTTAGTTGCCGCACCAGTCTTAAATGACACACATAGAAGTTAGGCTTAGAACATAGCAGACCAGATGTTATATATAAATTCTATTCCCTAAAAGTCACTAAATCCTGAAATGCTCTTCCTGAAGAACTGATCCTGGCCACTTCATACGAATCCTTTAAACCCTGGCTTGATACTTACTTGAGACATGACTGGGAGTTTACTCAGAGCTAACTTGATTTTCACAATTTAACTGCCACGTTTTCACTTCATTTACGTGTAAACAGGCTATTAACCTAAGTAACCAGTAATCAACTGTTTCTACAAGCTGAAGCAAGTTAAGCGAAAGCTTATACTATTCCAGGGATTGTCATTTTAACTACTTGAACCGTGTTGAAACGTTTCAGGTACCGCATCAGATGACTGTGTGCGTTACAACATGAGGCATTCACTGAAGGAAGTGAGTTAAAGTACTTCCCTAGGCTTTCGATTGCAAGAAGTCTGTGGAACATAAGAAATAGTCTAACAGAGGCTGTTAGCCTAATATCTTCATCTCTGATGGCTACGTGAACCTTGGTTCAGTTTCTCCTAATGAATTCACCGAAGGGGGCGGGAACAGAGAAGAGCAACCAAGAACAACTATGACCTGCCAAAAACTTTGCTCAGGTACTGACTGGAATGAAATAAGTTGTAAACTGTACATGCAGATTTTAAATCCTGGACCGATTATCTCAACTGACGTAATTTATTCCTGAAACTAATAGCAGTCTTAGGAGCTGTGACTACAAACAGTTGGGTTACGGGTTCCAGCCACACTCTACCAACCGAGGTTTCAGCAGCCAGGTAGTATCACTACCCCTCACAATAGGTGTGGTTCATTGCCTACTGCACGGATGTGCACAAGCTAACTGAGTCCGTTTCGATTTTTCGACGAGCATTTTTATAACAGCAACGCTATCTAGTCGTTCATTCGACTTCTAAACGGCAGTCTTGGTAACATTGCCTGGCGAGACTTCATTGTCTGGAAACCCAGTATCGTAAGTCTTTACCATTTAGAATTTTAGGGTCTTAGTTAAACCATTGACTCTCTTCTCCTTACCCTATCTTAGATTGGTTGGTCAAGATGTATACGTATGTTTCTATTCCTATTTTTTCCCGTGTTTGTAAGCACGAGTTCACGTTCCTAATGTTTCAGCAATGCACTTTTTGATAGATACTGCGTATGCATAGCATTGTCTTCCAGCCATTTTCTGATTCTTATGACCCCGAAGGAAGTTTTCAGTAGGTGTTTGAGTACTGACCTATCTAGGTTTAGGTCATTAGTACGTTTTTGGATGCATAAGACCATGTGGACTCCTTCATATCTCATATATATATATATATGGTACCGTTAGCTTTAGATACGGCACTTAGCCGTTTGTGGGCTTTGAACCTCTTTGGTCGTATTTCTCGCCAGTGATCGGTTGCTCGTCAACGCCCTACTCTTCGTAAATACTTCAGTCTGTTTAGATGGAGATATCTCCGTGTCTTCGGAGACATTATTTCATTGAGTTCTCTGGCGCATTAGTCACACAAGCTTTATTCTGTGACGAAATGACTGGGTTCTTAGTGGATTCGTTTACTGGTTTTCTGTTTCCTTAGGTCTGCTTTGCGTCAACACGATGTGTTTCACCACAGGTATCTATCTTGACTACCTTGTTATTCTCTTCGAATGTAACACCCTCCTTAGTTTTAGTTTCAAGAGCTATTTTACTATTGATGACACTACCTGTGTTACCGTTCGACTTGTAACCCATCACAATGTCGCTGTAGGTGACGCTTTGTGAGGGTTGTTTAGATCCTACTCTTGGATCAATACGATCACCGACTTTTAGGGTGTTACATGACTGGGGAGAGGCATATTCTTCCCATTGTTTTTTATTCTCTGGTGTTAATTCAGGACCATTCACCGTAGCTAACGGTTTGCATGCCCTCTATGGCAAGAAATAAGAAGAGTAGAGGTCACAACCAACAAAGTAACTTGAAAAAAATTAATCGGAATTACACAACCACGTTTTTCAAAGATAAATGTATTTATAAGAAGTGGAGATGTAAAATACCTTCAAACAGGGTAAATCAGCTATTGATGAACGGAAAGAAACACGTTTGGCGAATACGCGCATGTTTTTACTGTAGACAGTAAGCCTCACCTATTGTTTCAGACAGACAGGATCGACGTAAAACCTCGCACAGGTGCATCGGCTCAAGTTGCCGCACTTCACAGTAGCATGTTAAGATCAGGTGGATAGGAAGAGTGATACCAAAGTAGATAAAGTAATTGAAACAATAAATAATCTGAAGAAAAGGCTTAGTGAAAATATTCAAGCTTTAGAAGACATCAAAGAGTGAATAAATCTGCGTCACTGTTACTAGGTCTCAGCCATGTCACCAAGAGTCCTCAACCACTGATTCCTTTCATTTCGGGGACCCTAGCACGGCACCCTACATCTTGCCACACCTCTCAGACCAACAGTTAGGGACGTCATCGACTGGTTCCAGGTATTGGTCTCACCACCATGAACCCTCTTCCAACTTAATCCTACTTCCACCAGCATGGCACGTTAAGGTAGGGGGTGGTTTGGCATGCGCAACACATATCCAAGCCATGTCAGCCGATGAAGGTTCACAGGCTTATGAATGGACTTGTCTGTCCTACCTAGTACCCTTTTCCTTACCTCAACATTGCTCATACAGTGATTCCACTAAACGTGAGCAATACTGTAAAGACATATGTGATCAAAACCCTGTAACCATTTTGTGTCGTTTAATTTTAACAGCCATGTCTAACAGCCGTACAACAGGATAGAATGGACTGCAGTGCAGTAAATTCGTCCTTTGATAGATAGTCGGGTATTTCCTCGACACCACAGGTGACGCAAGTTGTCAAATGCTAAACGCACCTTGTGGATACTAGCTGAGATTTCGCTAGCGACCATCCCGTTCGTGCTGATGCAACTCTCTAAGTAAATGAAGTAATCGATATATTCTACCTCTTCACTCATCACTAAACTGACTAGTTACAGACCAGTCATAGAGTATCATCTCACATTTGATAGATAGCAACAAAACGCATACCAAACACTCAGATTCCTGCTCGACGCGTTCAAAAGACCCTGCATGTTGTCACCGATTTCACTCAACAGGACAATATCGTCTGTATACTCCAAGTCAACCAGATGACCTCCAGAGAGTAGGTCAATCCATATGAAGTCATTGGTACCTAATGTTATGCCCATTAGTACATCTATAAGGAAGTTAAAAAGGAATAATGACAGTGGGCATACCTAGTGGACATCAATGCTTGTCATCAATTCCGATGGTCCAACATCAAATACCATTTGATGATGTTCAGAAGTATGAACATTTAATGACTTTAAAAAGCTTCGACGTAACTTTTGCGTATATAGTTCCTGATTGGTAGTAATTTGGTACATACTAAGTTTTTTAGTCTTAGAGACTGGTATTTTGTTACTTATATCTCTGTATTGTCTATCAATTATTTATTATGATCATCATCTATCAACATAGGACCCAGTTATTACTGCATAACGGTATGAGTTGCAGTGAATTGGGAGATGAAGAAAAGAAAATTCGATCGAAAGAAATATAAAGTACTAAAAGAGAGAAAGGAAGACATCGGTTCTCAGCCATGTGCTCACCTACAGTCTCCAACCACTAGTTTCTCTTGTCCCGCAGACTCCGACCGGCTAGTCTGCATCGCCCCACATGGCTTAAACCAGCAGTCAAACACTTCATACAGTGGTGCCATGTTTTAGTCTGGCCACCTCGGGCCTTTTTCCAGCCTGGAGCTACTTCAGCCAACATTATATGACGAGGCAATCGGCGACTAAGCATGCGTAGCACGTGTCCTAGCCAGGCATCTCAGTTGATGCAGGTTCACAACCATGTCAACTGACTTACATCTTCTCCCTAAAACTCTATACCTGACTTGTGCGTTACGTGGTGACAGCACGAAATACGGCCTATTCTACGAAGGCCACAGTGGCCAAACACCTAAAGCCAGCCTTCTCATGTTTTCCACCTTGAATGGCCATGTTTCACAGCCATAGAGTAGAACAGCGGACTGCTGTGCCGTACACTAGACAAATGAATATCACGGCGGTGCCACAGATGGCATAAGTTGGCAAAAGCCAGTCGAGCCGTTTGTATTCGCGCAGAGACTTCATCGGCCACTGAGTCACCAGGGTTGATCCTAATTTCCAGGTAAGTGAAATAGTCGATTATTATTTGATAGCATTTCAACCAACATTTGAACTTATACGTTTAAACAAGAAGTCTCATGTATTATATGAATTCTAGTGATACTATGTGGCTGACCAGAACACAATGGTTAGAGGAGGATTCGAAACGGCAACCCCGCTGGTTGTGAAAGACGAGTATCTAGACTAATGAGTTATAACTTAAACAGAATTAGCTTTACAACTCACTTTTATTGGATGCCCTAACTGCTTGTGTACAGTAATATACACTACTAACCATACATAAAGTTTATAACTGCCAAAGGTATTATCATCATAAAGTCATTTTAGAATTACTTTTGGGAAATGTAAAGCGATGATCAGTTGTACTGTTGATCGATATATTATTATTAGTATATAGTTATTTGTCCCTTGGGTTCCTAGTGGAACATAGGGCTTTAGTAGGACATCTCCACTGCACTCTATTCTCTGCAGTCTTTTGAACCTAGCTCCATGACTGCCCACAAGCTTTCATTTCCTCCTTACATGATCTCCTCCGTGCCTCACTAGCCTGAGACGCGCATCTCGTTGTTTCCCCTATGGATTTCACTCGAGTGTTTGGCGCGTGATGTCTCCGAGTGGTTTTCTGTGTATGCTCAATCCATCTCCACTTCCTTCTGCATATTTGTTGAATGACAGCTTCTTGGTTGGTTCGTTGTCGACCAGAGTTCCTCGTCCCTTGTTTATTCTTTCTGGCCATCTGATCTTCAGCAACGAGTGTTGATGTTGAAAATTTAAATCTTGTTCTTTATTCTGAGTGCAGTAAATCTCCATACTGATTTGAGATCAATGAAGGAAGGCCTATCTTGCTGTTTTCCGAACCTGGCCGTGGCATCCTCGTCTGTAGTTAAGACGGTGCTGCGTTGGCAGGTAGGTGAAAGAGACAACTTCCTTTAGGTTCCAGCCGTTAATAATAATCGGTGCTTGTTGTTATTGGTTGGGTATTATCATCACCTATGTCTTCTCTACGTTCACTTGAAATCCCATCTTCGCTACCTCTTGTGTCAACTTGTTGGTTTTCGCCTGTAGATCTTCGAGTTTTTGTGACATTAGATACAAGTTATCGGCGAAATTCAAATCTTCCAAGATCTTTTCATCTGTCCAACCGACGTATGCTCATCTTTTCGCTGTTAAGTCGACCACAGTCAGGAAGATCATCAGTGATAATAGGTGGCGGTCTTATCTTACTCCTTCCTGTTTTCACTTCAAAAGCGTCATTGAGCTTTCCATGAATCGATATCAGGGAACCGTTATTATTTTTTTTAAATCAAAAAATAATGATTTTAACTTTTATTTTAGGTGTTTTGTTAGCTGAAAAAAATGTTTGATACCCAGAAACAAAGTATTTTTATTGATCAATTCAACAATGAATTCAGAGGATTTTAATCGATTACTTTCTCAACAAACTTCTGATCTTGAAGTAACTGAACAAGAGATTATTAAATTAGAAAAGTATAAATTAGATTATGAGACTGTTAGTAATAAAATTGAAGAATTACAAAAATCAGTTTATAAAGAAGCCTATATTCCATTCAGTCGAAAAGCATTAGTTAAAGGTCTTTTAATTCATACAAATGAATTATTAGTATACCTTGGTGGTACAGATGATTATTTCGCTGAATTATCAGTTTATGAAACAGTTCAATTAATTACTAATCGTATTAAACAATTAGAAAATAAATTGAATGGATTAAATCAACAAAAAATATTATTAAATAATCGTATTAATTATACAAAGATTTCATTGAAAAAAAATCAATAATTATTCCATCAAAACATCTTCACAATACTTCAAGCCTTAATGTATTCCCAGAAAATTTTGAAAATATTCAAGAAATTGAAATTAGAGAAGAATATGATTCAGATATTGAGATAGAATGGAGAAAAAAGCATTCAATGAATCGAAAACAAGAACGTCTTACAAATGCATTACAAACTTCACCAGTAATCAATACACGTAAAGTTTCATTTGATCTTACTAATCATATATATAAAGATAATAGTACTGATTCAGAAAATATATCTGATTTTGAAGGGGATAACTTATCTATTATACATTTTCAACATTCAAATATACCTTCGTTAGTACCTAGAGAGAAAGTGATTGATTTTTCAAGTTTAACTGTTGCAGAAGCTGTAAATTTTGCTAATAATAATAATAATAATAGTAGTAATAATGATAATGATAATAATAATAATAGTCTATGTAGCATAAATGATAAGAATAAGATATTATCAGTGGAACCATTTGGTGATATACATGAACGACAATTGATTAATATATCAACAAGCTCTAATCCTTCTTTGCCTATTGAAAAGAAACGATGTTCACAATTTCGTTCATCTCGAATTAAAGATTCTAAAACTGTGTAAGCTACTTCAGTGGTGTTTTTATTACAAATTGTACATTTGAAAGATTTATAAGATTGTTATTTTGATTATGATTGATTTGCCGGTTTTTTGGTGTTGTTTAATCATAAATAGATGGAATAGTAGTCTACTTAATGTATGTTTAATATAGGCTAGTAGGCAGAATCACTTGAGTGTAGTCTACAGGAGAAGCTTCGAGATAAATTCATGGGATGATATAAGATCGCTGCAGTTTGGGGATGAGGTTTAATAACAGATTGTATGCATGTCAGTAGGAACCGAAGGTTGGTGTTCAATAGTTTGCGCTAAATGACGCCAATATGATGACAATCGATTGTGTAGTTATTGTTCTGTGGCGTAGGCATTTAATTTCGAATAGATAGATCATGGATTTGAACCCATCTTCGACTGTTGAGGTTTATGCAACCACACCAGGTAGTACCAGTAGCCCTTATACACCAGGTGTGGCTCACTGTCTCCTGGACAAAGATATTGAGTAGATTTCGTTTTTCTTCGTTCAGTTGTTCATGTGGAAATGCTCAGGATACTTTGAAAAAAAATGCATTTTCAGACTTTTCACAAAAACCATTGGTTTCGTATATGGGATGAATATCTTCTATCTGCTTATTAAACTGTGATCTCTTTACTGGATTGAATGGTAATTATTTTCTATTGGCAATATTACGTAGGCTCATTTATGTTCCAACCAGTAATTTTTGCTATCATTCTAGCAGCATCGAATAGTAACGGTTGCGTAAACACTTAGATTCATGTTTTAGTCTGCTTGGTGACTGACAGTATAATCTAGGACGCGCATTTCTTCTTTCTTGGGACTCGCCGGCTAGATGTACCTGTCTGCGCACCTACTGACACTCGAACCCTATAGACATCGCTTCAAGCGCCTGGTCTATGAGAACTTCAACTAATCGTCTTTCTATATGCAGCTATTTCAGATAGGTAGTATTTAAAAAACACGATCATTATAGTCTTTTGTACATAGTACTGAAGATAATGTTTATCATTAGGTTAAATATTTTCAAGTTCAAGTTTGTTAGCTACGGGGTTGTATCCATCCGTGTTACGTTCTAATTCTTCAGTCACTTCAAACCATATCCATATTTTATAAATTAATTCGTAGTAGATATTAACGCTCAAATGATGATAAGTTTGACCATACCACGAATAATACTCTTCCTATTCTTATTGTTAGTCTCTTGGGTTCCAAGTACAACATAGGGGATCAGTAGTTCATCTCCATTTCACTCTCTTCTCTACAATCTTTTGAACTTGGCTCCACTACTGCCCATAAACTTTCATTTCTTCCTCACACCATCTCCTCTATGTCACCCTCATCTCGGACGCCCAACTCGTCGTTTCCCATTTGGCTTCCACTATCGGCTACCTGACCTAGCCTAATGCGTGATGTCCCCGAACGGTCTCCTCAGTGTATGTCCAATCCAACCCACCTCCATTTTCTTGTATATTTATTGAAAACTTTCATGCGCACTTTATTTCAAAGATGTCACTGATTCTAGCTTACACTCCTGCTTATTCACTTAGAACTAGCAGTCAGGTGACGGACGATCTAGTTATCGCCTTATGTCAATATTTCGTCTTTGTGGGTGCTGTACAGTACATTGTCTTTAGTTGGTATTTCTTAGGTAATCTCTCTATAAACTTCCATAAAATTGGAAGAAGCCGTATCTCTATGATCCATTATCTCTGCGCATCATAACTTGAGCTGACCTTCTATGCTAATCTTGACTACTTTTCTTTCGATCACTTTCCTTGTCATCATGTTTATCTTATCAACTGTAGTCAGGTAACTTATACTTGTTTGTATTTAGAAATGGCTAATAAGTTCGGTTTCATTGGAATGTTTGGTATATTGGAATCAGATATTTCATTCTCCTATCTTTTATATAGCTGAGTTAAAGGGTATTCAGGATTAAAGTAAAGGTTTTATTCAACGAAATCCTCTCGTTTACAGATTCCAAACAATTTCAGTACATTCTTTGATATGAATATGAGCAATGGATTTTGCTTGAACTTATCATCCAATAAATAATACTGTATCACTCACTGTCTGCTGTATATCAAATAAACAGAAGTAATACGGAATTATATTCTACCACAGTGCCTATTTCTTACTGTTACAACTTTGAACCCGCCCTTTGTTGGATATCCATATTTTCCTATCATATTCCACTTGGAATTCTACTCTACTTACCGAGGTTTTTGCAGCCAGATGGTATCAGTAACCTGTATACAATATAGACTTTTCATATTAGTATCATCATATATGAACAACATGATCTGGTTTATCTGCATTTACTACTTGGACATGCGATAGATTTGTACAGGTTTTATTCTCTTAAGAAGCGATTTCCATGAGGGAATGATCGCTTCAAACGCCAAAGCGTTATCCACTAAACCACCGAGCCACGATAGCCACTTCTTGTGCGACGGGTATAGGTTTTAGTATAATTGTTTTTATACCATGCCGTCGTTGATTGGACCGAATCGATCGGTCTCTGTTGACATATGGGATCCTGTGCGGATGCCTCGATATTGCCTGTGTTCTAATTATATTAATGATGAATAGTGGCTAGCAGTGGAATTCAGGATGCGAATTTCGTCCTATTTGGGACTCGTCAGCTGGATGTACGTACCTACAAGAAGTGTCTATCGTGGCTCGGTGGTGTAGTGGATAACGCTTTGACATTTGAAGCGATCGCTCCCGAGTCCGAATCCCGATGGGAACAACGTCACTCATCGGGAAGCAGGTACATCCAGCTGACGAGTCCCAAATAGAACGAAATGCGCGTCCTGGATTCCACTGCCAGACACTATCCATCATTACTACCATTAGAGCACCGGTAATATCGAGGCATCCGTACAGGATCCCATATGCAAATAGAGACCGACCAATTTGGTCCAATCAACGACGGTATGGTATAAAAATTGTACTATTATTAGTGTGTAGTTTTCGAATAGCATTACTTTTCGTTAAAATCTATGAAGACTTAATTTTTCACACAAAGGGAATCACAAGTCAATAACTTGTTGTCCTTGAAGTCGACAGCTTATTGGTTGGTTAACTAGTTTTCTAGTTATCTATTATGAGCAATTATTGACCAATTAAAAAAGGCGAATAAATATTTACTTGAAATGATTATTATTGTTATTTTCATTATTAATGTAAAATAAACATCATTATCAATTAAAATAACATTGAAGAATTAGAGGTGAACTATTGTTTAGTGAACAAAAATATGCGTAGCTGTAGAATGTTGATCTTCATTACGTCCTAATACAAATATATGCTTTTTTAACCATGCTACTAAACGGCTAGTCAATAGATCAGTACCCATAGCTCCAGCCTCTAAACCAATACCATTAGATGTACCATCATTAATATATGGTGCACTTGGTGCTAATGCATGTCCAATACATTGTGAATTACCAGTTAAATTAACACCTTCAATTAAACATTCTTTAAGAGATTTCGATATTATATTACATCCCATTAATGAATTACATTGACAGGCTAATAAAGAACTTTCATTCCATCCTGGTAATGAAGAACTAGTTGGATGAATTAAAGCTTTTTCAGTATTCGATAATGATAATCCATTCATTGTATTAACATTATTTGTAGATGATAAATTTTCATACTGATTTATTAATCCTGATGATAAACGATTATTCAACAATGGATCAGCTATTGATGATAACAACAATAATCGATTATATGGTTCTGGAGGTTCCCATTCAATACATTTTTGTAAACGTTTCAACATATTACCAGGCAACTAAAATATAATAGAATGAAATAGAGATGAAAATAAAAAATCAGTGTCAGTCGTTTTTTTTAATTACTAGATTCTATTTCGCATTACTTTGATTGCCCTCTATTCAACATGCTATACCAGACGGATAAGCATTTCCAAGAAATTACAGATATTCATCAACAACTGCCTACACTGGCTCGTTACTGAAGATCAGATGTCCATAAAGAATAAGCAACAAGGAACTCACTCTGGCTGGCAACGAACCAACCAAGAACCTATTACCCAACTAATATGCAGTAGCAGGAAGTGGAGATGGATTGGGCATGCACTGAGAAGACCATTCAGGGAAATCATGTGTCAGGCTAGTCGCTCGAATGGAACCCAGATGGGAAACAGCGAGTTGAGCGTCCGAGGAAGAAATGAAAGCTTCTGGGCAGTCGTGGAGTTAGGTTGAAAAGATTGCAGAGAAGAGAGTGGAATGGAGACGTGCTACTGAAGCCCTATGTTCCACTAGGAACCCTAGGGACAAATAATAATATATATAATACCGGACAGACAAACAGAATCAACGTCGAACCTTATATATATATATATATATATATATATATATATATATATATATATATATATATATATATATATATATATACAGAGGTGCGTCGACATTGCCACACTTCACAGTAGTATACAAAGAACAGGTGGACGGAAAAAGACTGATATCAAAGATGTAGTGTAATAGAAGAAAGTCTCAAGGTAACAGTCAATGCGAATATTCAAGCTTTAGAAAAAATCAAGGAGTGAATACATCTGCGCCACTGCAACCGATTTCCAGACATGTCACCACCAATCCTCATCCACTGATTCCGTTCATCTCGGTCAGTCTACATCTCTCCACATAGCTTAGACCAACAGTTAGTGACTTCATCGACTGATGCCAGATATTAGTCTGGCTACCCTGAACCTTTTCCCATAGCTTGAGAGGTCAAGGTAGGCGGTGGCTCGGCATGCACAGCACATGTTCAAGCCATCTCAGTTGATGGAGGTTCACAACCTCCTTAATTGACTTACCTTTCTTGTCTAGTACAATCAATTGTCTTTTCCTAGATTTCTCATTTCTCTGATTTCCATTTTATCGAATGCAACTCATTCAGTATGCCTTTATGTGTCATACTCCAGTCCCGAAAAACAAGTTGGTCTTAAAAATGCCATACTCCTTACTACTCTGTACACGTTCATTGTCGATGGCTCCGGTTTTTCAAATAATGAAGTAACACCTAAGTACAAATCGAAAGTCTCGAAGAACGGCCATACGTGACCAACCTTCAAGTATATGTCCTCTAGGAATAGTAGTCACATTTAAGTCGATAAGATTACTCTTAATATCACTTTTTTCCAGCTACCAAAAGGAGAAGTTAAGTACGATGGTGTGAATAGCCGTTAAATGTCAGTCGCTCTTACAACTGTGTCGAGTCAAATCCTTTCCAATTATCGTCAACCTTCTACCTTACTGCTTTCTATATTTTTCAGACTATCCTGGTAACATTAATGTATATGCTACTGTTTACTTCTAGCCATAACAGTGATTGGAGTTAAGGGAATTACATCAGTGATTGCCTGGAACTGCACTATGGACTACAGATTTGCGTCTTCAATGTCTGCAAACTTCGTGAAGCCGGAAAGTAAGCCTCACTAGTTAAAACCCCGGCATTTCAGGTCACAGGTATACGGTGTTTTCGAGTCAGGCTTACATGATTCGAGTATTGTTACTCACTTGGCCTTACCTAAATAACATGATGTACCTGTGAGATTCATCCTTGGAGTTAATTCCCATGCTAGAAAGCGTTAATTATTGACTGTATCGCAGTTAACTGTCGTCTATGTGCTTTTCGACTGTCGACAGTAAAGGTCGAGAAGGCTGGGGAATCACGCTGTTATCTTTTTGTAGTCTTTGCCTGTGCGCCTAGTGACTTAAGTTTGGGTGGATTGAGAGATTTTTGTTTGCCGAAAGCTGTCTAATCTACTAAAAGCCAAACGTTGAGATATGATCTCCGTAGCAGGGGACTTCAGCGCACAAATAGGAGTGATAACCCAAGTAGTAAGGCACTTTTAGAATTCTAGACGAATAAATAGGTGTTAATGCTAACCTCTTATAACTCTGCTCGGACAATCACCCATTTCTGACCAGCATGAATTTCAGAAATAAACAGACATTGTTTGATATAGCACCCACTGAACTGAACAATAGACATATAGCTATCAGTTATCACTGAAGACTGTCGGTGGAAGATGATTAGCCCTCCTTCTACTTGGAAGGTGATTACGCGTTGGCTAAAATATGCGAATGTTTATGCCTAAATAAACGTAGAAAAACTACGACTGGACGACCATTGAGAGCTTAGGTCAATAATGAGGGTTCTAAGGCTACTTTCAAAGAGGAACTAGCTAAACAGTTATTCATCTAAATGTAACAATGTTACTCAACTATATAAGCGTTGTATCCTTTCCCGTTCTACTTAAATACAGTAGTAAAAATTGTGACTGACCCTCATTAAGAGGTTATAAAGAGTCAGTGGATCTCAGTAATTTCATTCAAATTAATGTATTCAGGTGAACTCAATCTAACATATTTCTAACTGAAAGAGGAGCGAAATTAGCTGATAAAGAGTATGTGCAATGGTTGAGAGCAGCGATGCACAGCGAACACTGAAAAGATGGAGTTGATAGGGAATACCAGACAGTTTTTTAAACTTTCCAATGGAAACAGGTGAAATAGTCGATGTCTAGTGAGATTATATCGATAATTAACGAGTCTGTGATTCAATCTTAGGAGAGACGACTAGAATGTTGAACGGAACACTTCAATGGAAAGTTCATTTTCCCTTCAACCAATCTTTCGTTGCTTGAAAAATTAGCATAGAGTTTCCGAAGGTTGTAGAAGGGGTATAGGTAGCATGAAAAGAATAAGGGCAGCAGACTGTGATGAGACTACATCAGAAGTACTTAAAGTCAGTGGTACAGTGTTGACCAAAGTAGGTTCAGGCTGGAAAAAGGCTTGGAGTCGCCAGACTAACACATAGCACCAATGCATGAAGTCCTTGACTGTTCATTTGAGCCTTGTAGAGTGATGCAGACTAGCCGGCTGGGACCCGGGAGACAAGAGAAACCAGTGGTTGGAGACTGTAGGTGAGCACATGGCTGAGAACCGATGTCATTGGCGCAGATGTATATACACATTATCCTCATTTTAACCGCTATACTTAATCTCATTATTTCTCTCTCTTACTACTTTCTACTTCCTTTAACCGATTTTTCTTTCTTTCTTCATCTACTTTATTGTCTTGTTACTTGGTGTACTGATAGGACATATGGCAACTTGGATCGCTACGCAATAATCCCTGATCCTATGCTAATCTTGATGTTGAGGATGGAGATCAATGACCTTGGATTGTTGAATACACTGACTGACTGACAGTAACTCTATTCCTTAAAGTCGATATGGAATCCATCTTAGTTGATCTAAAGGTTTTTTTGCCAGTGTCTTCAGATGAAGGGTGTGTCAACCGTACCACACCTGTGGTTGCTTCAGAACCGACGTTGGGTTACTAGGGTTTGTTTCCGTAAAGTGGTGTTTATTAAGGATGTCGAGTCCCTCCAATCTTATCTAATTCTACTGCAGACGTGCTTCTGGAGGTCTTCTCGTCTGATTTTACAAGCACTGACTTTTTCATAGGAGACTCCTTAATACATATGGAGTAGGTAGATGACACAGTGCTTTCTAGTGAAAACACTGACAAGATGCAGCGTCTCTTAAGAATGTTTGGAATGTGTTTCTCATTACCCAAAATCGAATTGTTGTTTCAAGAAGCGAAATGGTTGAGTATGTTGGCACACTCACTTGTTTCTAATGTTAGGTCAGACCAAATTATTTGCCATCCGATTGGTTATCAGATATGGCCATTAACGGTAGTAGAATATTAGGAGGCTTCAGTTGTTTGACCACCATCGTCTGAATAGCCTAAGCCGTGTGTTGTGAAACAGCCAAATTTGTAATGTGGAAGTTTGGTGTGGAGTCTTAGGCAAAAGAGGCAAGTCAGTTGACAAAGTCGTAAACTTACACTAGAAGAGGTGGCCAAGACATTTCTTAAGCACATTAGGTCACCGTCTATCCCAACGCATAATGTTAACTGAAGTGGGGTTAGGTTGTAATAAAGGTTAAGCGTGGTCAGACTAAGACGTGACATCATTGTATGAGATACACTGATTTATCACTAAAAATTAATTAATCCCTTGTTACTTAGTCATTAGCGCTGATCAGATTCTATCAACGATTTTGCGTTCCAATGACTAGACTGACAGACCAATTGCAGTGCACTTTTGACTGATGCCAATTGGTTGGAGAAAATCTGCAGAAAGCCCTATATGATTGTTGGTCCTCTTCAACAAGAAGCATGTGGATGACACATTCACTGTGTTGAAATCAAAATATATCGGCATTTCCCCGGACATATAAACTCAGTAGTAGACGCAGCCTAACTCACTTACAAAGTAGAAAATGAACAAGGAGAATTACCTATGTTGTGTTGCAGAGGATACAACGAGGGACAAACGGTGGTGTGGATACTGCCGTCCTCTACAGGCATCCGGTACATTCTAACAAATATCTAGACTTCAGGTAATCTCATCTAGTGTCAGTTAAGGCAGATCTAGTCAAATGTTTAAGTGGTAAAACTAGAAAACTGACTAGTCAGTGCAAAGACTTAAACAAGGAACTGGACACACATAAAACAAGCACTAATAGTTAGTAATTAACTTTTGCAGTATATTAAGAAATCCATACGAACATACAAAAAGATAACAGTAATACGCTTACTAATAATAGCGACAACACGAATAGAAAGGAGTTCACACTTTCCAATGTGTTACCATATAAAGAAGGTAAGTCAAAAACTTTACATAGGATTCTCAACAAAGCTAAAATTAGGGTGGTACTTAAATCTGCAAACTCACTCAGAAATGAACTT